AAAGTAGGGGGGGTCATCAGGAAAACCAGGCTGTCAAAATCCCGCTACAGTTCTGTGTGTATATATACCAATTTAACTCTAATACAGAGAGAAGTATGGGAAAATACTGTGCGGGTTCAGCTGTTCCTCTGCTCTGAAATAGAAAGTCTCAAGAGTGCTTTCAGAGGCTGTCCCTTAGCGGCTTTCAGGGTTTTAAATGCTATGACGCATTTGTGGTCCCAGGAAAAAAATCAGTAATTTTTCCTATAAATCCTAGACATCTTTTTCATGTATATTTTTAATGAATATCTTGGGGAATTCACTCTACATTTTCTTTGGTTTTTTTGGCCACAAATCCATAATGAATTACACTTTTAAAAATTTTATGATTAGCAAGGTATTAGATGCCTTCTGCCCATGAAAGTTTTAGCTTCGTCTGACAGCAGTGTTCTGGTTTATTTTACATATTAGCATCACAAGGAAGGCCAGCAGGACCTTACAGCTGACTCTCTGAGTGCTGGAGGAGAAGGGGATCTGACCTGATGAGCAGGAGCCCATTGGGTGACATGACAGAGCAGCAGGGCCACCTCCTGCAGATCCTGAGATACGAGGTCCAGCTTTAGCCTGCACGTCTACTGGTAAATTTATACCTGGCCTTTGAAGTTTCTACATCTGTAATCTGCTTGTGATAGCAGATGCATCATTTGTTGGCCTGTGCTCCATGCAAGCTTCAAAGTAGGCTTTTGCCAGGAAATATTTATGGCTAAATCCCATCGCAGGGACCACGCAATGCTGCTGTGCTCAGAAGTGAGGTGATATCTGCCTGTTGCAGACCATGACTTTTAAGCTCTTTCTGACTTGGGTGGAACAGTTATGATGCAAATGGTCTATGAAAGTATGTTCCCACCACAGAAGTCACCAGCGTTCAAGAGTAAATGAGAAGGTGGGTTTGTGTTTCCTTTTCATATTATTTGAGTGTTGACTGGGGCAGGGTAGGGAGGAAGAAAAGGAAGAAAATAAACCACACAGAAACTTAGGACCAGGCGGGAATGTAAGTTCTGCCATAAAGTCCAGTGGATGAAAGGGGTCAAATGAGACCTGACTTATAACCCCTTTCTCATTTTGAGTAGTCATTCTGGTTAGCCTCAGCAGAGGATTTTGCCCAGTATAAGCTAGGTTTGATGACATAGGTTTTGCTGTAGAAGAGCTGGATTTCTGAAGATAATACAGGGAGGGACATGACAATGGTTCTCATAGCTGTGGAGGAAGAAAGGGTTAAAAAAAACACTGAGTACTATAAATATATGTGTTGCCTAAAATTTTTAATCATCTATTTTCCAGAGTTACTACTTTAGCCAGATTCTTCTTACTATTTGCTGTGGAGATTCAGGAAGCTGCCAAGAACAGGTGGGCATGCACACGCCCGAAATCCAACCTCCTCCTGCCCGTACGCTCCCATGCCAGACTCGTGGCAGAGTTAGTCCTGCCATACCATCAGCCCTGCTATGTGCAGTAGGAAAAGCTGGAGCCCAGCCCCGTGCCCTTGGGTGACAAGGCTGTTGTCCTGCACCGCCAGCTCAGCGACCCTGGGCCAGATGGAGCTAATACTGGTCCTCAGATGTCATTGCGACCCTTCCTCACCCCTGGCCAACCTGGAGCCCAATGCCCCAGAGGGGCAGGTACACCAGATAGAAACATGTGGGGCACAGTTGTGCAGGACCCTGCCACTTTAATCCCAAATGATGGACACCCCTTTCACACTGCCCATGCTAACTTTCACTGTCCTCGCACATGTCAAATGTTGTGAGGCTTGCAATAGCAGCTGTGGGCAATGGTAACACTGCTTTTCTGTGTCATTCTGGTGGCTTAAAGGAGCTAAAACAGCTAGCAGAACTGGTTGCTGCACTGGCTTCCTCTATCCCTCGGAGGGAAGGAGGCTTCTGGATATGTGGAGCTCTGCCTCGTGTTGGGGGTCATCCCCAATTCACATCCCTCCTGAGAGTCTCCTCCACACGCTGCCCTCCTCCAAGCAGTGGCTGGGTGCCAGCGAGAAGTTGAGTTTACTCTGTGCTCTCTCCCATGGAGCCCTTTGCTTCTGTTCAGCACTTCTTTGTTGTTCAGGTCATACAGGCTAACAGCCTCTTGAACCAGCATCTCCTTATCAGCAGAAAAGCATCACTATTCAGAACGTCAAGTGCTGCACTTGTGCCCTCAGGAGAGAATGCAGAGCATGGGAAGATCAAGAAGATGAAGCAGCCTATATCTCTTTGAAAGGCCAAACAAGCACTGTGAAAGAGCGAGGGTGTTTATCTAGGGGTTGGGCTTTGCATTCTCAGATCCTGCTGCTGGAAGTGGGAATCCAGCATAGGCATCTCTTTTCTCCCTTACTGAAAAGATTCAGGATAGCACGACATTTGACATATATGTCTTACTGACTTGCAAGAAAATGACGTGCTTGGTGTATCTCGCAGACAATAAGGAATGAAATTTCACCCTGCCTTCGAGCCACACTGCAGTCCTACAGAGCTATTTCAATTTGATGAAAAAGGAGAAATAAGTAGGACCCCAGAGACATTAGTGAAATACCCATCACCCAGCATGTCAATGGGAGTGGCAGCCTGAGAGTGCACAAATCCTGACCAGTCCTCTACTCCAGCCCTGCTGTTAGCTGGTCCCTGAATATTTCCGTGCAGATCCCATTATTGCTGTGCCCGAGAGCCTCGCTTCAGGCTTTCAGCTACATGGCAAGTGAAAATCTCAGTTGCTCTATGCTCCATCTGCAGTCAATAGCAAGAGATATAGGGGCAAACCATATCTCACGTGGGCTACCTCACATGGGCTAACTGCAGCCTGTAAGTGCTGATCCCCTCCATTAACTGTAATCAGAAACTAACCCAAATGAATTCAAGTGCGTGGGGTAAAATGTCTAAAATTGTACAGTTCCACACCAGTCAAATAAATGCACCCTATCATTTACTCTAACTGGTGCGTCTGAAATGCACCACCACCTGGTATTGGAAGCTGGGAGAAAATATTCAGGGCCATTTGCTGGGTTTTTTTTTCATGGGTAGCTGCAGGTTTATGCATGCAGGGCTTATCGGTCTGTACCTCTGCCTTTCAGCAGAGGAGGCATTGCTTAAATGGCTGCTTATGTGTGTGCAAACATGGTTATCGCTGTTCTGTTTCTTGCCTGATTCCTTTTGGTGGGTGTGGATCACTACCTAGGCTGAAGAAGTAAGAAAATTCCCAATCTGACTTGGTTGCAGTGTACCTGATGGGTTGGTAGCTTCCGTGCCATACTCTCTCTGCGCTGGGCATATGTTCTCAGATTTGGAGCTGGAAATATGAGACCATCACTGATCAAATGTACCATGCTGCAGCGTCCTGAAATTGTATTAACAACATGCCCAGAGACTTTCTTCAACCAGAAAAGAGCAGAGGTGAATTCTTGGTCCCATGGAAATCAATGACGAGACTTGTATTTATTAAAATTTCACACCTTTCTGAAAGGAAGAAGTCATGGGAGATCTGCTGATTCTCTCACTACATACAAATCACTCATCTGCTTTCAAAAATCACTGACATTAAAACATGGATTCACATTATAATGGAAGAGCTGATAACAAAGAAACAGGAGATGAGCAAATCATGCTGTAAGCTAGGAAAAATATGTACTGAAGAAAGCCATTACATAAGAACTCAACAGGATTTTTTAAGTTTTAAATTGGAAATGAAAATTAACTGAAACTAAAGCTCTTCAGAGTTTCAAAGATTTCCATGTTGATTTTAAAACAAATTGATGTCAAAAAGAGCCTTCTCTTCTCAAAATTGCAGAATGACAGGCTTTGAATTATTTTTTTTCAGCTTGAACAGCTTCAACTTCCAATTCATAAAATGTATAAAAGATATTTCAATCAAAATGAAATTTTTCTGGCTCTATCTAAATGAAAATTTTCCTGGATTTTTGGTCAAAAAAATTTGTGGTTATTTTGACTTTATGTCTAAATGATGAGTGTAAAAATCCTTGGGTGCTTAAAGAATCTCTGCACAACAGAAAAATGATTGGAAATCATGTACTGGAACCAAGATTGTCTAGTGACAGACTGAAGCTGGACTCTATTAACAGTGTATGCACTTAAGCCCATAAAAATAACTGGAGTGTCAGAAAAAGTTGCAAAATGACTGAAGTTTAAATTACTGAACTGCCTACTCGTTTGGGTAGGTGCTCTCTCTCTCGACGTGTCTCTTGACATGGTGCTTTCTTCACATTTTACTTGTTTCCCTTGTAGATCCATTTAGCCTTGCTATGGTGTAATATCAATGACAAACCTAATCTCAGCCACATGTGATGGCAAAGCCAAAGATGTCGTGCTTCACAGCCAGTCCCTGTGAATTTTGCTTACACCATTGCCAGGTCATCCACTCTGTCTTCACAAGCCTCCTGCACATAACCTAGCTTTGTATACTTTGTCATCAAGCCTGAAGTTCTGTGACACAGGTAACAGCACTACCCCATGTATTTAAATATTTTATACTACTCTGGCTCTGTGGCAGGAATTATTGCTTTACTATTGCAAGGACATTAGCCATTGACCAGGGTCCAGCTATTATGTAAATTCATAAAAAACAAGGAAGAGAAGGCCAAGTCTTGGCCCAGGCATCGCAGACCATTGCCCAGTGTAGCAGGTGGTGAAATGACCATTGGCCTCCAGACATTCCCAGTTGAAGCCAACCTGGCTGTGAATGAAATGGAAGTTGGTGTGTGGAAGTAGGTAACATTTCTAAGACCAGCTGTTTCCACCTCCGCCTCTTCCATCTGCTGGAAAAAGGAGGAGCATCAAGCTTGGTTTTTTTAGGATTATCTCCACACTCCCTGTCCCTCTTCTTCTTTATCTGGGTACCATCCTGGTCTGACCTTTCATAATAAGTGCTACTGGAAATTAATGTGGCTCTTACCATGACCAATGAACATTTCATTAATTACAGTGACATTCTGTATGTACCAAAAGAGAAGTTATTACCTGTAAAGTTTACTTTCAGGAGATAGTCTTTGTACAGCTTCCTGCCATCCAGATGCTTCATGGCATCACAGAGTTTGGTGGTGTTTGGACACAGAGTCCGCTGCATTTTATGCAAGGCATGGGCCATCGCATACACAGCATTCACAACAAACATGATCTTGGATTCTTGCTCGTAGTTGGAACTGTTGATGGCGAAGTGCTTGTCACAAGCCCTTTTATGTGGTTTTCGGTTCTGGAGATTACACTGGAATTTTTGCTCCCAGAAGTCCTTGAACCAGGGGTTGCGTCTGTTGTTGTAAGGGCTGAGGCTTTGGAAATACCTGTCAAACTCTTTAACTGGATGGGAAGCAAGTTCCAAGGTTATTGCCCCAGAGGCTATGTGCTCATTACCCTTGACAATACTCTCCTGTGCTCCCCACCCGTCGCTGGCAATCCAGGTAAAGGAAACGTTGAAGCGGTTGGCAGCAGCAATGAGCTCCCGAGAGTCATCGCCTCGCATGAAGAGCACCACCACTCTGGCGTTGGGTTTCTGGAGCAGCTCTCTGATCACGCTGTCGTAGGACTTCCTGATGTTGGACCGGCCCACTTTCTCAGAGGTGGCGATGCAGATGTTGCGGAGGCGAGCTTCCTGCTCGAAGGCTTCAATCCCTGTCTCCCCATAGTCTCCTTCTGAAGCAACCGTTGACACGTAAGTCCAGTTGAAGTACCGTAAGATTTCAGCCATAGCTTTCGCTTGGTAGAAATCAGGGGGCACTGTCCGTGCGAAATAGTCGTAGCGGGATTTGTCGCTCAGCTTGGCACTGGTGGAGGCATAGCTTATCTGGGGGATCTGGAAGAGTCTGAGCAAATTTGCCACCTAGATAGAAGGGGGAGAACACAGGTTTTTAAAGGGTGTTATTTATAAAACTGAACAGAAAAATGAAGGGAAAGGCATAAACAGTTTTTTTTAACAAGGGGTGTTCTGACAATCACAGATTAAGGGTGTTGATAGAGGATGTTGACAACATAAAACCAGCCCACTGTGCATATGCAGAATGGCTGTTCTGCTGCCCAGTTCATTCCCAGGGTCCTACTGGGACTGTAGTGGACCTTTTATTTCTGTCAAACTGTGTCTGTTTAAACCAACAGAGAATTTGACACAAATGGACCATATACTTCAGTTTCAGCCTTGTGCTCCCGACTGAGGTCGGGGGATTTGCATGCCTTTGCTGTTCATAGTGTGATTCATCTTCTCCAAGACTCATTGTATTTGACAACCAAATGCACTAATAAGACATAAATTTCTCTTTCATGCAAATATCACACATATGCACGTACAGAACTTTCTGACCCCACTTACTCAAGCTCTGAGTCCCCACTTCTGCTGTTTACTCTTTTAAGCTCTTTTCCGAGCTGTTCCAACTGCAGACCTCCTGAGACGGTGTATTCATTGCACGTTAGTAATCCTTAAGTGCTGCACAATGTGGTGTTGACCTACAGCTTTTCATAAATAATAAAAACTTTTAATAATCTCTAATCGCCCTCCTTGTGTGATTTATGTTGTCCAAAGTCCTGGGTTTTGTGTTGGTTTTTTTTTCTTTTTTTTCAAATGTTGCTACGTCCCTTGCTTTTTTGGGAATAAAAAATATTCCCATATCAAGTCTCTTACTCCCGTAGAAGTGTAGTTCCTGATAATATCTGGAAAGAAATGAAGACAGGTTATGGCATTTCTTTCCTGTGATTACTTCTTAAATGACAAAGGGAAGACTTTGGAGTTCTGCTCTTGGTGTGTGAAAGTTGTGTCCAGTAAATTAAATTTAAAGCTGGTCATGGAGTACAGCCTGACAAAACCATCTGAAAAGCAATAGTGTGCTTGAGATTCCTAAGGGAAACTTATTAAAAACTGCCCCATCAATTAGTTTTTCACATTTTCCCCAAATCTTTCTCTGACCACAGACTATGTCTGTGAGAATTCAAAGGCAAAGGACTATTTTGAAAAAAATGTGGTGGAACAAGGCAAATTTTAGAGGCTCAGGTGTCAGTAGCAAAATAGACAATCTGGTAAAAAACCCAAAACAATTCTATTGCTTTTCAGCAGCACCTATCTCTTGGGATTTTATAGGTTTAGATTCTGTCTTTTCTTTAACGCAGACACTGGACTAGTGTCTTGCTGTGGTTCGTCTTCCACTGTACACTGGTGTAATCTCTTGTCTGGGCCAGACTCTGCTGCCTACCCGTATGTGCCCGCTGCCTTTCACAGCCCCCTGAGCTATTTCAAATGAGGAACTTAAGGGGAGCCTTGTCCTCCTGTCCTTCTGCAGCACTGGGAAGAGGAGGTGGGATGCTCTGGCATCTCCGGTCTCCAGGTGCCTGTATCTGGGGAGCTGAAGCATGTCTTCATAAAATAAGTCACTCACAGTGGTTTATTTTTGTTTAAACCAAAATAAAGCCTCTTCTACACTGCTTGGAAGGAGGATCCTGACAGCGAGCTTTGACTAAAGCCCTGTGGCTCTGTCTATGGGTGTAGGCACATGGCTGGAAAGGGCTGTGACTGAACAAGTTACTGTCCCTCAGGAAAGAGCTGGTGCATCCTTAACCACCCTGCTAGCTGGTAACATGCACTGAACTGCCTTATCCTGGAAATGCGGGATTTAGTTTCCATTGTGGTGATTTAAAGGAACAGCTTTAAAGCAATGGGGTGGGCTGAGGCTTGTTTGGTCACTGAGGTGCAATGGATGTTCTGAGCATTGCTAAGCCTCTGCAGCTTTGTAACTTTTGATTATGTGGCCACATATCCACATGGTTTGGTTCACATGTCCTCACGCAAAAACAGCACTTTGCTTTGGTAATAAGAATGTCCTCGGTGTAGCTATTCTGGAAAATTTCTTGAAGAACAGTGTGGGCTGGAATTGCTATTCTTGTCTCAGTTTATTCTAGCAGGAATTATTTTATTTGAGCTAGACCATAATAAGTCTATGCACACATATCATTCTGCATTTCCACCCCTAAAACATCTCAAATTAAGTCAATTTTCTAGCTAAGGCAGTGCTATTCAGTGTGTAGTCAAGCCTTCAGATCACAGAAAGATGCTCCTAACAAATATTCCAGCTTTTCTATTACACAGAATCACAGAATCGCAAGGGTTGGAAGGGACCTCGGGAGATCGTCTAGTCCAACCCCCCTGCTAAAGCAGGTTCTCCCAGAGCATGTTACACCGGACTTCATCCAGGCGGGCTTTGAATATTTCCAGAGAAGGAGTGGTTAGTGGTGTGGTTTGTTTTTTTTTTTTTCTTTTAGTCTAAGCAGCAAAAGCATCCACATGCGGGGAAACAGAACTACACGCCCATTTTACAAGGGGGCCCTGAGCCTTGGAGGTCACAAGACTTCTAGAGCCCCTGCGAGCTGCCTGCAGTTCTGCTTCCTCTGCCGTGGGGAGAAGAAAGCTTTCCTGTGGCCATGCTGTTTGTGGTAACGCTCTTCACTGCAATGCTGTCCAGATGGTAGGCTTTTCACAGACCAAAAATAAAAACAAAAATAAGAAAGTCTGATTAATCATAAAGGATAGTGACCTGATCGTCCCCGAGAGCTGCGACTGATCATGGAGCCCAGTGAATTATATTTGTTATTAATTCAGATCAGGACACTCTTCTGAAATTCTGAAGTTGGGGTTTTTCTGGAATATTGTAATATCTTGATTTTAGGGACTAATTTTTCAAAATTGCTCATGTCTCAGGCACTTAGCTGATGCAGCCATTTTCAGAATGGTCCCCTTTTCCAGCCATTTCCATGCTGATCTGAAGATCTGATTCTGAAAATCAGATCCTGGTTAAACGAGCAACAAGATAAGGGCAGAGGTAACAGGTTCTGGAGAGGAGCTGGTGTCTAAGGTTACGTCTATTCTGCAGTGTCTCAGTGTGGTAGAGGACAGGGCGATGTGAAGCAGTTATGTGCACTGAGATTGACCCACCTGAGGCACACTCACACCGTAGCTCCATGCTGCCTTGGGATGTGTGCTACAGCTTCAAAATTGCAGTGTAGATCCAGCTTTTGCTAAGTGAAATAATCTGTTTTGGCAAAGCTCCAGGCAGAAATTTAATCAAGCCGTGGTGCATGCAATTAGAGCCTGAAATCCATATGTTGGCACTTAAGTAGCAGTAGTAGCCTGGGTTTTTTTTGCTGTCAAAAGCAGTGGGTTTTGCAGATGCTTAGCACCTTTGAAAATAAGGTATCTGCAACCCAGAACAACCGCTTTGCACAGCTTGCTGTGAACAACGTATGTCGATATAGCCAGCTTCCAGAGTGATGGGAAAGCTTTATCTGCCCTCATGCTGCTGGGTTTATTAGTGTAGCCACTGCCCTGTGCTGGTGTCCACTTCCCAGGCAAACTCAGCTCTCACCCAGCTGCTAGGTCAGCGAGTGGTTCATAAGAAGCTGCCCAACACGAGCATGGCAGCAAGTCCAGCGTGAGCCATGTCCCTCTGTAAGGACAGACCACACCAGCACATTCTGCAAATGAAGTGGCTGGGGCAGCACCACAGGAGACCGATGCCCCTCTCATGACATTGGAGCCACATTTGTCCTTCAGGAAACACTTGATGTGTCCTTAACCACCCTGGTCAGGTTGGACCAGGCTCTGAGCAACCTGATCTGGTTGAAGATGTCCCTGCTCACTGCATGGTGTTGGACTAGATGACCTCTAAAGGTCCCTTCCAACCCAAACCATTGCATGATTCTATGATTCTGATTCTGTGCTTTTATGATTCTATATTTCTGGCCATTCAAGTCATCTGATGAGAGATAGGGTCATGTAGGTAATACCTATATGTCTCAGAAACCCATATATGGATTTATTGAATCCCATCAAGCCTTTTGGCTATCCTCCATGGGATGTTTTTTGCTGGCAGTAGGATTTATTCCAAAGGTTTTGGTTAAATTTTTCCTTCTCATTAACAGCCCAGAGGCTGTTAATGTGTACATGGCTGGGGAGCACAGGAAACACTCTAGAAAAAAGAAAAATCTCAAAAGTCTTAGAACAGACAGGATTTCTTCTTCACAATACACAAGTGCATATCACACATTCGTTGGACAGAGGAGGCCCCTTGTTAGGTGACAGTGCTCTCTGCACTTCTAAAATTTTACCAGGCAAGAATCTCATGGCACTTAACACAGCTTAATGAATCTAATTTCACAGAGCTCCTTTGAGACAGGCAAGAGCTCCTGTGTTTGCTTTGAGCAGGCAGTAAATTAGGGCGGCTGAGCAGGATGGGATTGAGGTAAAGGAGGTTGGTCTCTACAGAGAAACCGGAGAAATCCCTGTCTCTCTGAACTGCAATCTGTCCTAACGAAAATTCAGTTTCTGCCTTTGGTCACCTGAAAAAGCCTTCCTGTTCATGAGGCTAAGTAGCTTGTCCAGATTGCCACAGTGAGACCTTGGCAAAGCCACATCCCAGGGATTTTCAAATGTCTAGAACATTGATGTAACACAGGAGCTGAGCTTTTGCTTTGAAGAAATGTGTGCTGCTGCCAGCGTATGCTGTATCTAAATGATGATAATCTACAGTGTGGGCTTTTTGTTATTATTTGGGCAGCTGCAGGTCATTGGAGCATTTGCTCCAATTAATTTTTTTTTTTTCGTTCCTTATTTGACTTTTTTTCTTAAGTATAAAAATATTTTAACCAAATTTTGGCAGAAAGTTTCGCTTTAGAAATACAGGAAAGAAACATTGGTTCTGAATGGGCTGGAGTGTGGGTGTGTGATGAGTGGTGGACATAAACTTAACGCAAAGAATAAATGAGGTACCTGTCTCTAGTCAGCTATCTACACTGGCCTGGCCACCCTCCCCATGCTCCCAGCTCCTGGCTTGCACATTTTATGTC